TAGTGTGAATACAGCGAAGGGTCAATATTTTAGGTTGATAATAAATCGTCACCAAACCCACAAAACTGGGAACGGACAGTATCTATCCAAAAGAGCTATTAAAAAGCTTGCATACGAAATAAACATGGAAAAGGGAAAAAAAACTATTCACATAAACCTGTATTGGCAAAAGTGTCCCTTGTGCCACAATATTCCTCTGAACTAACAGTAGAAACGCACTTCAGCTTCTGCAAATCTAATGTAGGACCATCATCATTATCATCATCTTCTTCTCCTCTGCTATAAATGATTATACTTTAAAAGACATTTTGAATGGTGTTGGTCAAACTAGATGATAACTTTGCATTCAAATATGTTAACGAACTTCGAATTGGGTAACTTGTTTGCAGCAATTAGATACAACGCCTCTAATTAGCATGTTCTCTATAGCCTTTCATTGCGCTAGAAAAACGGCTAAGGGTGCTAAATCACATTTTAAAAATCCAATTACATATATATAACAGTTAGAATGAGAAACAAAAATACAATAAGGCGAAAATCTTTTAGAAATTTGGCTTTAGGATTCGGCTGGGGGGGGGGGTGACGAGGTGAGGGAAGGGGCGCTATTGCAGTCTCCCTTCTACCCCTGATGGTGTTTGCAGAGTGTCGAAATATTTAGACTATGCCTGGTACAAACAGCCAGAAATCATCCCTCGATGTAACGTAAAGGTGAACGTAAATCATAAGATCACTCATAACTCAAAGCCAAATCGGCTCCATACTCTAGTCATCCGCCCCTCCCCTCTTCTCCATCCCTTTTTCCGCATCCTTTCTACCCTCCTCTTCATCATTATTTCCCTTCTGTATTTCATCCGCCTTTTTCGTAAGTTTCTTTGCCGCCTGCTCTTCCCTTTTCTTTTTCTCCTTAACCTTTTCCATAATCCTTCTCTTCCCTGCTACTCTAAACTTCATTCCCTCTCCATCTTCTTCCTCTTCATCCTTTTGCTCTCCTCACTCTTCCTCCCGCTTCGCCTCCCCCTCGTCATCTTCACCTGACTCTGTCTTCTGCTCTTCTTTCTCTACCTTCTTCTTCTTCTCTAATTCCTCCTCTTTTCCTCCCTCGCGTTCCTAGTCGCTTCACTTTTGTTTAATTGATCATCTTTTTATGACCGTCTCGTGCGTACAAGTGATGTATTAGTGAGGTGGTTCTAATTACGATTACTATGTGATGCCCCCGCCCCCACCCCTCCTCCTCCTCGAATGGAAATGATGTCATAATGATAAAGGAGAATATCCCCTTTAGCCAACGTAACAAATATAAAGAGATGTATCAACGAAAAAAATGCGGAAACGACAACAACATCGTCAATCCCTTGCGCCCAAATGTTTTAGCACAAAATTAGCGCAATCATCATTATAATCATCATCACCAACAACAAAAAGAACAACATTTATCTCTTCCTCTTTCCCTGTGTTTGCCTCAAAGCTATTTGGGGTACAACTACAAGTATATAAACTATTATCTCAGTTTAATCACAATGTTCCGTATAGCACACTGTTACTTCTATCTCTGACATGCCTATGGAAATTATTGATATAGATAGATGGTGGAGTTTAACTTTATGATTGAGCCATGTAGAATGTTTTTCATTTATTACATTTAGTTAACATTATCCACTGCAATACTCGGGTCACAGAATTCTGTGTATGACTGAAGATTGCTTTAATTTCATAACTGCTACCGTAGAGGGGGTACTGATACTATTTGTCTGTCTGCTGTCGTATGCATGCAAATCTTCCAATTGTTTGATAATTTTGTGTACTTTTGGGGTTTACAATTTATATCCTGTTCTCGCAAATTCATTTTAAATTAATGAAATATCGAGGTCAGCAAAACTTCGCAAGTAATTTGACTTTCTAACAAAGTTCTCCATTTAACATCGTATTTTAGAATAAAATATTAACATAACAATACACCGGATTCAATATTCCTTAGACTAGATAAGTTCTTTTTGTACACTTCCTACGTAAATACAAAATCAAGTTCATAATAAATTAAAGCAAAAAAATAACATATTATTTGAATTGACAAGATCTAGATCTTGTTCTGAACAGTAATTTTTATATAAAAGCTATTACCTCAATTTTTCTCTTATTTTTAAAGCATGGATGAGATTGAATAAAGAGGAATTAACATCATAGTAAGTCAGCAATATTTCTAACACTGCCGATAAGGACAGATATAGCAAGAGCCTTCTCGTTAACAGAGTCAAGTCGTCACCCAAATTCATTATGTAACCGAGAGCTGTTATTCTTTAATTTGACTGATTATTGCAATTTTGTATCATTTTGTTTTTAGGTCATATTTTGTTTTTGGTTATATCTCGCATTTCACCTTACGGAGGTACAGTTTTAGGAATTTTACATTTCTTCGTTTTTCGGATATTGAATTCCCCCACTAACAAACGGTTTGATAACGTTCCATCGATACTGCACGCATACAATGTCTTGGTAGCTGCAGAACCTATTTTATTATAAAAGGAAGACAATTGTGTCGACATTTGAAATTTGAATTTAAATCCATTCACAATTTAAAGAAAAAGAAAGAAAGGGAGAGAGAGAGAGAGAGAGAGAGAGAGAGAGAAAGAGAGATGGAGAGAGGGGGGTGCTGCCGTGAGCTCATAGATTCAGGTTATCATTTTTCAAATAATGTTTTGTTTTATTAATTTTTTTCCTGAAATTTAAATCTGAGCAAAAGAATGGCTGATTTTCAAACTTGAGGTATAAAATTTGTAACGAGGGGGGGGGGGGGCGGTGGGTAGGCTAGTGCACCGTGATGTTTGAGGCTCTTGATACTAGATGCCCCCGGTTCAAACCTTACTCGGTATCTGCCTCCTTTAAAGGTACTATGTCCAATTTGAAGGACAACAAAAAAAATGAAAAGGTTAACGTCTAACGGCAGTTGAAAGATAATACTACTTTAGAACTTCCCTCAAAACAAAAGGGCCTGAACGCGTCTTTTTGTGGAAAAATAACGACCGTTAAATTGTCGAATCGAATTTAGGGATTGCAGTCGTTTTGTGAAATAGTCTGATTTTCAGACTCTTGCACCGAATGGTCGTACGTTTTGTGCTGCGCAAAGATTTAGTGGGTTATTGATGTAGACAAATGCTCATGTATCCTTTACAGATCATCTCATGTTTGTTATCACCAAGGAAAAAGAGAAGTAATTCAGTCACTCAATAGTGTCTGACAATGAATTCTAGAATGTAAACGGGTTTCCTTGCATAATTTGAATACTGTAGGACACTGCAAACGTTTAATTTCACAGATAGGATTATGTGACATATTAATAATTCCTGCAAAGTTCTATAGCATTTGATGTTGGTTTTAAAAGGGATACACTACCTTTAACAAGGTGCTTTACCCATGCGCAATTAACAACTAGTACTACTACTACTACTACTACTACTACTACTACTACTACTACATCTACTACAACTACTACTTCTATTCTACTTCTGCTACTACTATAACTACTTCTGATGCTGCTGTTACTTCTACTTCTACTACTACTACTACTACTACTACTACTACTACTACTACTACTTCTTCTACCACTACTACTGTTCTGCTACTACTATTACTACTTCTGATGCTGCTGTTACTTCTACTACTATTACTACTACTACTACTACTACTACTACTACTACTACTACTACTACTACTACTACTACTACTACTTCTACTACTACTACTACTACTACTACTACTACTACTACTACTATTCTACAACTTATACTAAACGTATATTTACTACTACTTCTTCATTGTATTCTTACTAATGTCATCGCTGCCGAGCTGCTTATTTTACTAAATTCAATGAGATCATTATAGCGAATGTTATAGAAGCTCATGGCATTTTTATGAGCAAATAGAACAATTATTCACGAGAAAGAAGGGTCAATGTAAGGATCAAAAGGACAGGACATTCCTTTTTATTTTACAAACATTTGTTGACGAGGGACCCAGGCACTAGTATCGCCTCAAACGTCGAAATTAAAAGAATTGAAATGACGATTATGTTGACAAATTTGTGTCGTATTACATCTTTATATTGAAACAATATTTTGCAATTAGCATATTACGTGTCTAATCCTGCATGTTATATTACGCTTTCTCTTCCCCCCCCCCTCTCTCTCTCTCTCTCTCTCTCTCTCTCTCTCTCTTCTCTCTCGCTTTCTCTCTCATTTTCAAGGGAGCGGTGGGATAGGGGGGGGGGGGGAGGTAAGGTTCCAGTTTTTTTTTTGCGGGTTTTCATGTTACTTACCTGTTGTCCCACTCTTGGCCGCCATGGGCTGGAAGCCGTTAGGAGTGAAATGTGCAGACGTGAGCTTTTCAATACCACTACGCTCTCCAAGGAGTACATTTTATGGGCCTAAAACATGCATCTAAATGGCCGTAATAAATCAACCGCTTAGCAATGCCTCCCATGTTTTTACCGAAAGTCATTATGTAATTGAAACTTGAAAATGTTCCGTCACATTCTCGTTAAATGTTCATCAATCTTTTTACCTTCTAAATCCCGAACCCACCCTTTTTCTGCGACCCCCTACCAATAATCATGGACAACATAAGCTGAAACACTTTGAGTCGTTAGGCTAATCGGCAGGAGTTATGGTAAGGGATCATCTACGAGCTGGATGACGAAAATATGGTTTTAGATCAAATGATTTCGATATGAAACAAACATCCCTCCACTCCGGTGGCGTGAATGTGTCTCGGTCACGTGACCTGTTCACATACGGAATGCCCATTAAGGAGAAAAATGAATAAATCACATACCCTTCCTTTCACATAAAGCATTCAATTATACTTCCATGCAAAAAGAAATGCCAACCGTGTCACAATAATGTTACAAGTTTGTCGCAAATGACAGGGGAACACCCTAACTTGTAAAAGAACCTTTTTCCAAAACGATTAATTCTTAGCAAGGAACTTGAAGGAATTTCGGCGCGATAAATTCTCGCTTGTCTGAGAGAAGTTTGAACGAGATCTGGTCTGGAGTGATAATCATCACTCATCTGAAGGAGAACATCCCTCGCTTGTCGGGTCCTCCGCAACTTCCCCTAAACCCGTCTCCTCCCTCAATAAATTGACGCTTCAAGAGCAACAATTAAGCCAACCACTGGCTACTCTGGTCAGGCTGAACTCTGCCGTTGCAACACCGCCTAAAACCTGAAGCGACGAGACCAAATACCGGTGAGTTGAAACGGTTGAAAGTACCGCGACCTGAAAAAGAATAAAAATATTTAATTTCCCCATTTCTGCGATCGTGAGGTGCTGTAACGTGTGGATTTTACGATTTGTCGTCATCGTAAATGTCATATTAGATACGAGGAGGTAAGGATTTACTATGCCAGCGGTCTCCCGCGATCGTAGGGCATCTGGGTGCTGGCAGGCCCTCTTGACCCCACTGGTAGGTCTTCAGTCCCACCAGTAAGTTTCCTTGTAACGCTATCAGTGGTTACTGTGTGTATCATATTAAGTTTATGGGATATAAAGATGCCAATAAATGTACACTCTTCTCTATTTATCTCATATGTTGTGATATAATTGGAAGGCATAATAATAAAAAGGCTTTTTTTACTTCGAGAACATGTCAACACTCAACAATAAAAAGCGGTTGACCTTTTTTAAAGTTAAGTAATGTTTAAGGAATTAAGCACCTGGAATATTTCGTAAGCGGATTTCATTGTGCTAACCATTGACACTATTGTTGACTGATGAAAATAATGATGATGATAATGGTGGTGGTGATGATGAGGACGATGATAATGATGGTTCAAAAGTAATTTAAAATCGAATATGTTTTTAAAATGCAGTATCATAATTATGGGGATTCCTCGAGCACGTTCCCTAGAGGTGTCTTTCATTGCATCTTCAACGACAGGCCACTAGACTTTTAAATCCTTGTTATTCTTGGTAATTTGAGTAATGTTAATTCCATTAGTAATATTGATTTTTTTGTTTGTAGTAATTTTGATTTGTGTACATGTACAGCGCTTTGAAACTTTTGTCACAAGCGCTATATAAATTTTTCATATGATTATTATTCTGATGTGCTACGATTTTTTTTTTGTGGTCTTTATTATCATTATCTTGGAAAGAGCATTCTTTCTAAATAAGTTCAGAACTAGTGACACCGGTGTATTTTAGTGAACTGCCAGCGGTATAAACTCAGCCCTTACCGAGCCTGTACATAGAGCTACGAAATCCCTATTGCATTGAATCGGACTTTGATAGAAACGACGAACTCGCTTGTACATATTTTTAGCCGGAACCAAAACGTAATGATATTATTAAAAAATTGTAAATACATAAAATCTGTTTGTATGCTTATAAAATTGATTTGAAAAACACCGTCATTGTGATATAAGTTAATACAAATCTGCCATCTATGGTTATTCAGCCTTTAAAAATCTTGGTTTTGAGAATATGAGCTGGCGGATCTGCAAGCAAACTAAACACGCAAATTAGTTTTAAAAGATTGTTTACAATTATCGGAATATGTTACCGTGTCAATAGGACTAACATTTGTACGAGTGAATGTTTGACATGTTTTATAATAAAATTAAACATGGTTGCTAGGGTTTTAATAATAATTTTAAAAAATGTTTCTAATTCGAAATCGTTAAGTGACCTTCACAAGATTCGAAAATTGACTTCGCATCTAAGTATCGATCTGCATCATTCTGATATGAAATTATTATTACTGTTTGAGTGACATCGATATTAACACCAATGATATCATGATGATATGTTGACATACTAAATGGATATATCAATGGTTCGTATCCCTAAATATGGACTGTGATATAGGCTGCATGATATATAGTAAACGAAAGACAGAGAAACCCTGGTGTAAATGATCACTATTTTCCTTTCTAAGACAGAAATCTAGATGTTATATCTACCCTCGTGGTTATATCGGGCCATATGGTTGTTCCGGTTAAGGTATATTTAGCACAGTGCATGGTATTGCTACAACCCATTATGTGTTTTTTAAATATTAGCAGACATATCGAGAGGTTGTGATACATGAGTTACCTTGCATGTAATCCTACAAGACACGAATAGATAATTATAATTGTGTTCCTGATTTTAGCCTGCTAGAATAGTGACTCTGATAAATGCTGAACAAAGAAGAGTCAATACTGCATATTGTGTTATACACCATTTTTTGTAGATAACAGGGTCTTATAAAGAGTTGCGATTGATATAAATCGCAAATAAGCTTCGATTAATCGGAATTGTTAAAAAAATGGCCCTGGTTTCATCACAATGATAACTCTAATGATAACTCACCGTATATCAATATAATTATATGTAGCACTACATTCCGTTAGAGAATTATCATCTTATTGGCATGCTCAGTGGATGGTTGTTATATGTATATGTATGCATGTATATTATAAAATAATATCGTACATGCCTTTTAAAACAAAATTGAGTAGTAATTACATGTAATCGCAATCGTGAAACTATCAAAACAAATATAAATATATCATACCACCATTAAGAATAACATAAGATTTGAACTTTATTTATCTAGAGATTATTATTACTTACAATGTATTTCATTTCATGCTTACAATATGGCTGTACGGTGATCCAAAAATATCTGAATCAAACACACTAATCGTGTGAATTTGACTTTGTATTTGTTCTAGCAAATACACAATCGTGATGGACACTTGTTTTTTTTAAGCTACACAAATATATTTTTGAACTGCTATGAGCTATAGGACGTATAATGCGTTTCTCTCTTTAATGGTTACAAAATAATGCAGTTAACAAAATAATCAAAACTTTTGGCTGAGAAAATAAGAATTTTCTTTAAAACAAAGGGAAAGTCAGTAGAATTAAATTAAATTATGACTTTATCTTTAAGTACATACATGTAAAGGTTATAGTTTTCGCAAAGAGTATGTGTGTTATCATGGTACCAGTCCCTTTTCTCATTCTTTTCATAAGCAAATCTGCCTCCCTTCTAGCTTCTCCCCCTCTCTTTCTCACCCCTCCCTCCCCTCTCTCTCTCTCTCTCTCTCTCTCTCTCTCTCTATCTCTCTCTCTCTCCGTTTATTACTATTAGTTCAAAGGGATTATTTTTTTCTTCTATTAAATGTACATAAAATGTAATTTTACAAGCTACCTCTTAAAATGTCAGGCGTCAAATTTAGCAGAACTTAACCAGAAATAAAAGCAAAAAAAAAAAAAAAAAAGTACTTGAAAAGTTTTATTCTTAAATATATTAAAACTTCGAATAAATCAAGGATTTTTAATTGATCACTTTCGCTGGTAAGTAATCACTTCTTTTCGCATATGAAGTAAGGATATTGCCTTACATAAATTTGACAATCTTAAGAAAAATCTAGCAATGAATTCTATTTTCCCCCATTATGTTCATAGTTTTAATTTTTATGGATTAAACGCCTTTTGGATTGAAACTGTCTGCTGTCTCTTGTTGCCACATATTGCACGTCTCAATACTTTTAACGGTGCTAGCTAGCAGAACATTGTGTACGAACTTTTCGAATATTTATTGTTTGTTGAAGAAAACAAAGGGGAAGATTATATTTTTCCCCTCTAAAAACAATGTCTTTATATGTATCATTCCAAAGGGCCATAATATAAAAATATTCGTTTGAAATATTAAAATGGGTTGAATTTATTGAAATTTTGCACCGGTCACCGGATAACCTCACCAGATCTACATAAATCGTTAACGTGGTTTGAACGAACAAATTCATAATGGACATTGTGGGTTTGATTCATTTCGGAATGAAATGATTTTAGCTTTAGCGCCTCAAGTTTTGGAATGAAACGAAAATTTGTAATCAAAATTGTCTTCCCTTTTTTCTTTTTTCTTTTTTAATGCGACATGCTGCAGTTGATTACCATTATCAGCCATAACCTCTTTAATTTCTATGCTCCTCTTAAAAACATCAACAATGCATTGTGCTTACGTGCTGTCTCTTACGAAACCTAGACAACGAAACAGCAGCAGAAATAAGAATCCATGAAATAAGAGAAAGAGTGGAGTAAGAGGTGACAGAAATCAAAGCAAATCATGCTTCTTTTACGAGTCAAGTTCGTTCCGGTACATTGACCAGGGCGCCGATTTACTAACCTGTATTAGACACGGGTCGTTTGTTACGCCACTAGTTACGGCGGCACGAGGTATGACAGGCCCGATGCGTGCCGACTGGTGTTTCCTTTGCTAAATCATTATTTTGGTGTCTATATAATTTACGACGAAAGAGAAATGAAGGAACATACTTATTGTCACGATAAAAAATGTGTGAAAATTATTTGAAAGTCGACAAGAATAGAATATGATTTGAGATATTTTCTTGAATATTTGGTCCTTTCATATCATAGCGTCACATGCACTGAGAAACTGCTAAGGTTTCTTTCTTTTTTCTAGATAGACAACTGAACATAAACAATATGTATGTATCATTAAAAAGATAAAAAGAGGGTTTATTCTGTATCTCAAATTTCATGAAGCAATAGTGGAAAGCATTTATTCCATATATTTCGCATTTTATATGTTACTTAGATGTTCCTTAAAAATAAAATACCACCATGCGCACCACAACTCGGGTAAGCAGAACATCTTCCTTTTTTTTATTGCATCAAAAAGGTACTTAGAATACTTAAAATGTGTCAAATAAAAACATATTTTCACGAGATGAATTGCTTTCTTTCATTACAAATTATGGATTCTATAATATTCTGTTTACATTGAATACACGTTACTTTAATACGAATGTGGCAAATAGGGAACCTAGGAAACTGATTCAGAAATTGTTAAGTTCATGTCAACAATACAGCAAATTAAAAATAAAAAAAATTATGGCAAAAGCTCATATTCCAATCTCATGTAGTTGAAATATAATTCCAAATACTCAATGAATTTGGCTGCATCATTGAAATGCTTGATATTTTATTATCTTTTTCACAGCATGTTTCGTTTTCCTTAAATATGGGAGTGACAGTATAAAGATGCGTTGTGATAATTAAATTTGAATTTAGCATTGGTTAATGAATATTGTTTCCCCCATTCTAATGTTTAAATACCAGTCACTAATGTGTATATACGTCACACTACGATTAAACAAAAAATAATATGTAAATTTACATGTAACTGTAAACAAAATTATTGGTTTAAAAAATATATTAAAAAAGAAAAAAAA